TATCGATATTTCGCTCTTATAAAAATATTCCACGTAGAAAGAATTAAGACTCGACAATTTAATTACAAGGTAATTTCATTACAAGGTGAGTGTACTTTCGCGATATCGACACTTCGGAAAACAGGAGGACCACGCGAAGATTAATCGAAAGCCTTTCTTTTCTCTCTTTTGCTCTTTGCGCAATGAAATCACAGGGAGATTTTTTGTCGTTTCACCATGTAATCGAGCCGTATATCGGTGTAATACTAGACACACTGGTTGTGTAATCAGCGCGTGTAAAGCTCACACAAATTGAGCAACGCGACACGACGAAACGCGACGCAGCAGTCTGCTGCTTCCGTCCGTCTTTCGCACAGGAAGTCGCGGTTTCACGCGTACTGACTTTCAAAAGTGATCTCCGTTGAGATCCTCGTAGAAGAGACTGTCCGATGCAAGCCACAGGGAGCGCAAGATATCTTGTTTCGCGGTCGTTCACAATATGTTCCAGATAGTAATAACACGCGCGTTAGACAAGAAATCGCGTCCTGTCTCCCCCTTGCGCTTCTCTCGCGCGCCGAGGTCGCTTAGAACCTCGATTCGACTTTCGATTTGCAATCTCGGCTGTGCGAAAATCCTCGCTTCCAGAAGAGAAAGCGTCGGCAAATTGTTAAACAATTGGGACATCAAGGCAGAATAAAACGACTCGCGATCTCCCGAACGACTAAACTTTCACGATAATATCTTTCCTCGCTCTCGCCGCTTTCTTTCAGAGCACCCTTTGAATTCCTCCAGATCCTGCTACTTACGATAACACCACCGACCATCCTCCCGGACGTCGCGCGCGGATTGCACGCGGCTTCCTGTGACTTCTCGGTCGCGGCGACCGACTGAGCTTGCGCGACGAACCACTTTCGCTTCTCGTAGCCACTCTCGCTTTCGTTGGACTAGCTAGCAACGAGGTCGACGGATGCGACGACCGCGGGTATCGCGGCTGAAGCGCGCACGCGAATATCGACGGGACGCACCGCGGAGAGCAGCGTCGCGAGACAGAAGCTCGCGCAAGCGCCGCCTCGGAGACGAGAGGAGCGCGCGCTGCCGAGTTCTCTCGTCGTCGGCTTCGCGAAACGTCTGCCGATTATATATCAGCACCACTAACATTTTATGATGCAATGCGCAAAGAAAGTTTATAATAGTTACAATAGTTTACAATATTTTCTAACAGGAAATGTTTGTATTCACATTATTGACGCGAACATTGAAGATACACAGCGCTTGCTAACTTGGGAAGTTCTGTTACATCTCTCCAATATCACTTAACAATAGCAGTTATAGTTATTTTCTGACAATCACCTTTGTTTCATTTGTATGTGCAGCGAAAAAAGTTATAAATGGCTCTCCACCTGATATAAAAATTAAACAGCGACAGTACACAAATTACGTGCTAATTACGCACTTTTCGAGAACAAAATGCATTTCAGATTCTCATTTGTTGAGCCTTCTTTAGTGAAGCCCCGATAGATCGACCCCGGAAATCAGCCTATAAACAACGAGTTATTCAGCAAATATATATTTAAGATTTATGCGTTAATTATGCAATTAAATTAGAATAATCTTGATATTTGCACTTTGCTACCCTCAAGGGACTCAAATCCGGTAACTTCAGAGGACTGTGAAGAGAAGGAAGTGACGCGCCTTCTCCGGAGAGACCTAAAAAATCAGAGAACAAAAAAGGGGTGTGGATAGAAAAGAGTGACGACGTGGGGATGGAAAAGAACATCGAGGAGTTAAACGGCACGAGACCAGAGGCGGCCGGGGGGGATGAGACGACGGAATCTGCCAGCCAGATTCCAACCAACCATCGGTGCCAAGGGCCGCTACCCGGAGGCGATACAAGACAGGAAAAGGACAGTTTTTGGAACAAGGGAGGATGGGTGGGTGTTTTATACAGACTGGCGGATTCTTCTCGTTTCTTTTCCCAGGGAGGAGTCGGCTTCCCGGGGAAATTTCAGTGCGCGTTACGCACTGATCCGGGGCAACGCCACGGCGTGGCTGTCCCGGAGGGTAGATAACGTTCACGACGCGGGGGTGGTTTTATTTGTTCTCCAATAGCGAGAGTTGCGACGGCAGACGCGTACCGTCATGCGACGAGTTCGCGAAGGTTTAATGTGCGCCCTCCTCGTAACCTCCTCGCAATCTATCCGGTAACGAAATACCAACAGAACAAAATTGTTTTCTTTCCTCTGTCTCTCTTCTTACTTTCTTTCTCCCCGTGTTATCTCTCTCAATGCGAGAAAACGGAGATATTCTGCTTGCTCTACTCCTGACTAGGAGCGGTTGTTGAAACGGGGGGTTGAAACGCGAGACCGTTGTTTGAAGATAATTCGTAGTTTCCGGAAATACAAAGCGCGATACGGGAGAGACGCGTGTAATAATCCAAGAGCCAATCCGGCTCGGCTCGTAAAAGCTCAACGGCGTTTATTCGGAGTACCTTCGGCAAGATATGCGGAAAGCGTGAAAAGCTCGGCGAGGAGAAAGCCGGTGTTACGCCCGAAGATGAGGAAGAAAGAAGCGAACAAAGACGGGGAGCTCCGCGACTGTCTCCTCGCGCGATAAGGCGCGAGATTAACCCTCGAATGGTACAGCGTTCGAGATAAAGTGCAAAGACGCGGGAAATAGAAAATTAAAAGCCCGCGAGAACGAGAAACGGAAGCAGAAGAAAGTTTTGCAATTCGCCGAAGGGAGATCGAATTTCCCGAGTACTGACGACGTTGAGCAAAATCGATGCATAGTCAGAGAAAAAGACATAGTGTCGGCAACTATATATGGATGACTATACAAGTTTTGTACATAGATAGATTAATCTACACAAGTTGTCCGCGACAATTCGTTACAGAGCCGCGGTGTATACACACTGAGAGAAAAAAATAGTTGGAATAACTATAATCTCACTATATTTTATAGTTCGTTTTGGCCTCAAACATATATTTATAGTTCATCTAAACATGAAGATATAGTAGAATGAACACAGATTTATAGTCACCATCTTATTACTCTATATATATGGTAAAGCACCTTTTGGGAATATAGTTACATGTACCTATATTTGCCAAATATTCCAATTGTATTGACTATATAAAATAGTTAATTTCTCTTACCATTCAATATTTGCCACCTTACCATATTTTTTATTTCAAATAATTATAATTCTTGGTAAAAATTTTACACGGATCAGTTATATTATACTTATATTGTAAATATTACAAATATTATGGTAACATTTACTATAAAAATTATATTCCTAACTATAATATTTTTACTATGCCATTATAGTTCCAAATATCGTACATTTTTCTCTCAGTGCAGTTAAATTAGATCAGACTGAACGAAAGATTTCTCTATCATTTTTTGGGACCAACCACATAAAATTTTCAGTTATTAATTAAAATTGTCGAGTGATATGCGATACAAGAGTTACGATGGCGTGTTATTTGGCAGAGGATTTTTTTTAGCTTCATCTAATTTTAGGCTTAATTTTAGGCTTCATCTAATCTACAAGCACACGATAGCAAGCGTCGCTGTCACAGCTTGTGTACTGCATAACTCGCGACTTTTCGTTAGTCTTTTTTAATGAGTTAAAAGTTTACGTGCGTAATTTGCAAAATGGCGAAGAACTTTTCAGTTCAGTTTGGTCCGATCTACCTGTACACCACGGCTCTGTAGTAAATTATCAGGTACCTAAACTGTAACTAAAGTTTTAGTTTCAATAACTACGAAATAGTTTATTTAAACTGTATACACACATGACAATTCTACATACAAAGCTCGTACAGTCACCTGTATGACTATCACTACTATGCTTCTCTCTGAGCGCAGCGAAGCTGACGTAATCGAACGGTTAAAGCAAAATACTTTGCAAAATACGCGTCGTTTACGTAACAAACCGTATCAAGTGCGATTAGCGTAATTCGAGTCTCGCAAGACCAATCGAGGGTTGAATCTGCGCCGGGATAGGAATCAAGAGAGCACTTACCTTGCGTGACTACTCCCTCCCAGTCTTTGTCGGAAGTGGCCGGAAGTGGCGTGTCCGTAATAGCGGCAGGAAATAACTCGCGCATTCGATTTAATCGGATAAACGTGGAGTCGACGGGCTTCAATATTTGCCCGCGAACCGTCGCCTATCAGGACGAATCGGACGGCATTAATTAAAGAGACGCTTTCGCGAAACTGTTCCCGTGACAACTCTCGTTACCGTGAATAAATTACTCGTCGCCGAGTAATAACGTCGTTTACGTATACACGACACAGTTTCATGATACTGTTATGTTGCATACCGTTATTTATCTTGCGCATTGTCCGTATATAAAAGGAAAAGCACGATTTTTGTTCGCCGAGCGAACGCGTGACGACACGAGAGAGACAGAATTGATTATTTGGCGGCAGTCAGGTGCCGCTCTTGTCTCCTGGAAAAATTAAATCGACGACTGCACGCGTAGCGTGCCTCACCAACTGTGACCGATAAATCGCGAATCTCCTCCTGTGCAATTTTATAATTACACAGAAAAATCGAATTAACGGAGGATCAATGAAGGACGCGATAATTGTAATGGAAATTAATTTCTCACACACAACATCGCGGAACTAATGGACTATCCAGGGACATTCGCGATCGAACACCGCGTGAGCCGCCTCCAGCTGTTGCCGTATACCGTATGACGCAACCTCGGGCTGTCTTCGAGAATCAACTTTACGGAACACGGGAACAATCAAAATTCGTTCGTCCTGTACGGCGATTCCTCTATCTTCCTTCTTGGCGAAGGAGAGCAACGCACAAGCAACTCGGTGACGCAATAAATCAGACACCAATCTGATTTCAAGTTCGAAAGGCTCGCATATCCTCAATTGGAGCGAGCAATTGGACGAAAGCGTGGCCGAAGGTACTCCGAGAAAGACAAAGATACCAGACAGCATGCGGAAGAAAAAGTGACACCGCCAAGAGCGGGCCGAGTGATGATCGATCCTACCTTAGGATGTAGTTGACGCAGACGACGGAGATCGGTTTCTGCTGCTTGGAACAGTGGATCAGAGTGGCTTGCGTAACTACCCAGGCGTAGCCGCCCCTTTTGCCGAGGAATCTGTACGCCACGGTCTCGCACTGGCCCTTGCTGAACACTGGAACAGCAGAGAGAAACGTGAATGAGTAAGTGCGAGTAACGAATGAATGAGACAGTGACGGGAGAGACCTGCGGTCGTCTCAGAACGCAGGACAGTCGAGCGCCTCGCCGCGCGCACACGCGACACACCTTCCGGCTGATGAAAGACGCGGCGCGGGATTGCAAACACGATCGGCCGAGGGAGGAAAACCATCGATCCGAGAGTCTCGGGTGAATTGATTACGAGTGCAAAAATCAACGAGCCAAGCACATTCGTCGCGACGACGAAATGCAACGACTCGCCTCTTCCTCCGATCGTACACTGAGAACAAACGTTTGAGACTCGTATAATGGTCGTTACTCGAAATTTGTCCTACGTGAGATATCCAGATCTGAATTTAGAGTTGGATCTGAATTTCTTGCTTCAATTATGTAATATGTGACATTATATTTGCAATCGCGATCTAGCTGAGAAATTAAGATCTAACTCTAAATTCAAGTCTGAGTATCGCGCCTGAGACAAGTTTCAAACGAGTATTAATATAGAACTGAAATTCTACTGTAACATTAGTGATGATAAATTTAAGTACCAATAACCCTTAAAAGTACCAATTCCCAGACACATATCTAATCCTGAACATTGTTTTGGGGTCTTTAAATACGAATATTTAAGCTTTCAACATAGAATATATATACATATATTCGATGTCTAGGTATAGCTTCCGGAATGGAGCCGTGTCTTGAATCAGCGATAGGCATATCGCTGATTCAAGACACGGCTCCATTCCGGAAGCTATACCTAGACATCGAATATATGTATATATATTCTATGTTGAAAGCTTAAATATTCGTATTTAAAGACCCCAAAACAATGTTCAGGATTAGATATGTGTCTGGGAATTGGTACTTTTAAGGGTTATTGGTACTTAAATTTATCATCACTAATGTTACAGTAGAATTTCAGTTCTATATTAATACTCGTTTGAAACTTGTCTCAGGCGCGATACTCAGACTTGAATTTAGAGTTAGATCTTAATTTCTCAGCTAGATCGCGATTGCAAATATAATGTCACATATTACATAATTGAAGCAAGAAATTCAGATCCAACTCTAAATTCAGATCTGGATATCTCACGTAGGACAAATTTCGAGTAACGACCATTATACGAGTCTCAAACGTTTGTTCTCAGTGTACGATC